GTTAGGTAGTCTATTTTAATGTTGTACGGGGGTGGACAAAAGGAGGCTTACAATTGTAGGTGAAACACAGAGTTAATAACGCTCTTGTAATAATCATAACTTACTTTTCCCCACCCCTGTATATTTGTTCCCCTTTTTTGGCTCCCAAACATTTATTCTCTTCACACTTCTTATAGGGCATCAATTTGCTGTTCAGGAATTATTCATACTTCCTTATCCCTAGTCTTCACAGGATCCTGAAATCGAATTCTCTGGAAGACTGCTTCTATCACCCCTCCGTTTCATTCCCCGAGGTCCCCAAGGAACCACATGTAACGGAAACTGCCAATTGACCTCTTCCTCCCGGGACTTTGTTTTTTGACAAGAGTATAAAAAAACAGTGCATGTTTATTAACTCCCGGATGTCAAGCCAGAGAGAGGCTCTATGGTAACTTGAGACTATTAGTTCCAATCTGTCCTTTCAGCCTTCGCTCTGATTCTGTGGTGTCACTACGTCCCATCAAATTCACTCTCTGCGCCACATAGCCATTGGTTTCTGTTGTGATACAGATAATAATATGCGGGATGTTCCTACACACTATTTTCTACATGTATCATCTTCTATTACAATGTCTTGTTTTGCATTTGCCAATTTTCAATATCATTTTTGCTTCGGTTGCTCTTTTTATTTTTAATATATTTTTATTGATTTCAGAGAGGAAGGGAGAGGGAGAGAGAGAGAGAAACATCAATGATGAGAGAGAATCATTGATCAGCTGCCTCCTGCACGCCCCACACTGGGGATCAAGCCTGCAACTTGGGCCTGTGCCCTGACCGGGAATGGAACTGTGCCTCTTGGTTCATAGGTCGACACAACCACTTGAGCTACACTGGCCGGGCTGCTGTGGTTACTCTTATTCTCTAATGCTGCTTTCCAAAATTTGTTCTGGGAAGTAATATTTGTAACTCAGTGTTAGAAAACGTTACATAAAAAAAGGAGGGGGGATTATAGTTAAATAACTATGGAAAACACAAAGATTAATATATTTTAATTCATTTGCTTTTCTGTACATTGTGAATTTCTAAGAAAGATTACAGGATGTAGCTTTTTCTGACTTATTTTTAGTATGTACGCAGGCAGGTTTATCCTCCCATATCTAAAAAAATCAGTGGTATGTAGAACATATTTTGGGTAATGATATTCCAGATGCTGCTATTTACTGTCTCCAATGAGGACTTACAATTCCCTTGAGCTCATAATAAAGCAATGCTATTTATTTTACTTATCTTTAAGACTGATCATTCCTGTTTAGTATTCATCTGATCTCTATCCTGTCTGTTTGTAGTGCTTCTGTTGTTTGCATTTCTTATATAGACTTTGAAAATCTTGTGGCTTGAATTTTTTCCCAGTAGTATTACAAGACATTTTAACTGAGCTAGGGTGTTTAAAGTTTCTGAATATGTCCTTGAAATAAAAGTTTATTACAGGTACTTAATGTTTCTATTGTTCTTTTTTAAAAAATATATTTTATTGATTTTAGAGAGGAAGGGATAGGGAGAGAGAGAGAGAAACATCAATGACGAGAGAGAATCACTGATTGGTTGCCTCCTGCACGCCCCCCACTGGGGATCGAGTCCGCAAACCAGGCATGTGCCCTTGGCTAGAATCGAACCTGGGACCCTTCAGTCCACAGGCCGACACTCTATCCATTGAGCCAAACCAGCTAGGGCTCTATTGTTCTTTTGATAGGTTTAGAGTTTCATTGCATTCCTGACTATTGTTCAGTGTTTCTAATTATGAGCACATAACACAAATCAGTGGTACTTCCTCTTCTATTTTTGCAATATAAATTCAGGAATTTTGAGTTTATAACAATGGGGGCCTTTGTACTTCTGATGATGATTTATAACATGCTCTCAAAAGACTCCCTGAGCCTCAGTGATGAAATCAGAATGTTAAATTATGGTAATTTAGTAGCTCCTCTATGAGATAATTTAGGAAGATAAATTTTCTGAGATTATCTTAGCAAATACCTTGATCTACATAAAAGTATGTGATATAGAACTTTATAAACAATCTTAGATCAGCTTATTTATAATTTGGGCATGTTGGTATTCTTTTTATTAAATGAATGCTCAAGACCAGCCAGCGTGGCTCAATGGTTGAGTGTCAACCCATGAACTAGGTGGTTATGGTTTGATTCCTGGTCAAGGCGCGTGCCTGGGTTGTGGACTCGATTCCCAGTGTGGAGTGTGCAGAAGGCAGCCAATCAATGTTTTCTCTCATTGATGTTTCTACCTCTCTCCCCCTTTTTCTCTCTGAAATAAATAAAAACATATTTTAAAAAATGAATGCTCAATATATGCAGACATATACCTCTTCAAGCATAGGCTTGGGGTAAAATAATTTTTCATAATCACATTCCTGATAGACACTTTTCCTGAGTGCATTGGTCAATGAGAGGCAATTGTCAGTGAGGAAGAAGCAGGAAGTGATGTTGAAAGGGTCCAGAACTAGACACTTTTCACTGGGCAATCCCACTTTAGAAAATAAAAATTTATTGACAGATTATAGCTACACTATTCAAAATTTAATAATACTGAAAAACCCAACTGTCCAATGTTTTTGGAATAGTTAGGCGAAACTATGCTAAGAAGATAAATTCTTATTAACTAAAATTAAAATGGCCCTAGCTGGTTTGCTCAGTGGATAGAGCATCTGCCTGGGGGCTAAAGGGTCCCAGGCTCGATTCCGATCAAGGGCACATGCCCGGGTTGCGGGCTTGGTGGAGCTGATCAATGATTCTCTCTCATCACTGATGTTTCTATCTCTCTCTCTCCTCCTTCCTCTCTGAAATCAATAAAAATTTAAAAATAAATTTAAAATGTATGCCATAGAAATGAAAAATTATGTAAGAAAGAAAATACCTTGCATAACTTGTTATAAAATAAAATACAGAAAATCTAGATCTTATAAAAAACAATGTTTGCACAGGAATAAGGACAAAACAAGTACACTAAACAAGTAATTTTCAATGGATGTATTCTTTGTAGACTTTGTTTACTAAGCTTAGCTAACTATAGAATTTTAAAAAATACCTTCTAAGGTCATAGGCAAATGACTTTATAAGCAAACTATAGCATCTGTGGGTATTACATTTATATAAGTATGTAAATACTTATAGGTCTATAATATGCACATATATAGAAATAAATGTGTATAAAATTAAAACATTGTTACGAGTGAAAAAGTATCCTAAGTAAACATGATGCATATTTAGAAGAAATACATTTATTTCTCTTTGTACACTTGACTCTCCTATTTGAGCTCAGATATATTTCAGCTCACCTCCACATAAATGATGAAGAAAGTTAAGACCAAGGTCATCCTAAGTATGCCATGTGAAAAACAATGAGAACACCCACACACTAGATACTCAAAGACAAGTATTTTAAAAGCAGAAATCTGTTAACTAAAATAACATCGGGTAATTTTAAGTATGACTTTTTAGAAGCATGGATTCCCTGGCTTAATGCTAAGAACAGTCTAAACCAGGGGTGGGCAAACTTTTTGACTCGAGGGCCACAATGGGTTCTTAAACTGGACAGGAGGGCCGGAACAAAAGCATGGATGGAGTGTTTGTGTGAACTAATATAAATTCAAAGTAAACATCATTACATAAAAGGGTACGGTCTTTTTTTTTTTTAGTTTTATTCATTTCAACCGGGCTGGATCCGGCCCGTGGGCAGTAGTTTGCCCACGGCTGGTCTAAACCAAGCTGGACAAGTAAAATTATTTGGGACTGGCAAAAGAGAAGAGGCATAGCGTACCAGAGGGTCTCTTTACCCTGGCTGAAAAGGTGACAAAGTCCATAATGAAGAATATACCTTAACATGTAAGCAGGACAAAAGAGAGAGAACTCATGGACATGGACAACAGTGTGGTGATGGCTGGGGTGCAGCAGGTGGAGGTGGAAGAGGACATAGAGGGGATAAATGATGATGGAAAAAATAAAGGATGGAAAAAGGACAGATATAGGGGAATACAGAAGCCATCTATATAACTTTAAAAAGCTCTATGGTGGAGTAAAATCTAAAGAAAGAGAAAATGTTAAGATTGTGCGGGCTGTTTTATTATGGCTAAGAACCTGAGAGACAGGACAATGTCAAAGCAGTTTTTCTTGTTATACATTTATTGCTCGCTTAATCTGTTTGAAGGAGCATGAAAATACATGAAATACTACCCCAGGTGAGATCCACTCTTCCTCCAGCTGGAACGCTGAGGCCAACACAAATCTGACTGACATGCTATTGAAATACAAGACTACTTTTCCTTGACCTGAGCTCTTAACAGTCAACATCACAGGCGAGGTCCAAGTCCAAAACCTTTCAAGAAAATCTGTGTTCTTTATCAGAATGATATAAAAAATCCTTTTTTAATCAACCAACAAAATGCAGCTAAATAAAAAACTCCTGCTTTGCACTGAGCTGCAGACAGTGAATTAACTCACCCAGGAAGAGCTGCAAAGCACTTCGCACAGGGCCACTGGCCTGCAGGACCCTCACTGGAAAGCTGAGCTCTCACTCGCCCCCTCAATTTCTTAAATACTGTAATTTTTATATCTTGCTTGCCAAGCTTTCTTCATTTTAAAAAGTTTTTATTGAGCTAACATTATAAGTGTTAAAATAACTTTTAAAGAGAAAAATTCACCCACAAGCCTGCCACTGCACTAAACCTCTTTATTTTGTCCACAAACACATAAAATTTGTAGTGATAGTCACACTATATGTAACATAATGGAGCCAGGCTATTTAAAGGCATTGTATACCATTTCCTGACAACATGTTCTGCCAAACTAATGAGTACATATTATGTAAAATTCAGTGTATGCTAGAAGTCCATAAAAATAAGAATATTCAGTACATTCCCCCTAAATATATACTCCCCAAAGCATATTTTGTCCTAAAAATGTAACTTTAAGACACTTTGTAATTCCCATCTGTGTGACACTTTTCCTTACCTCTTCTCCAGACAGATAGTAGGCTGAGAGTAGTCCACCAACAAAGCGTATATTAACTTCAAAAACAGAAACTTCAGCATTCTGTAGAAACAAAAAAAGGAGGTACATACATAAACAACAGTATACAATTGAGAAAAATATTGTGAGAAATGCACTAAATCTTTAAATTTTATTCAAATCATATATGCTCGCCCAGAGAGATCTATATATATAAAAGCCTAAGCGACCCTTATGACCGAACGACTGGAACGACCCATCGACCAGTCGCTATGACACACACTGACCACCAGGGGGCAGACGCTCAACGCAGGAGCTGCCCCCTGGTGGTCAGTGGGCTCCCACAGCCAACCTCCCGTGGCCCCTCCCCCTGGCGGGCCAACCTCCTGTGGCCTCCCTCCAACCCAGCCAGCCAGCCAACCTCCTGGGGTCCCTCCCCTTAGCCAGCTGGCCCCCGACAGGCCTCGATCACCAGCCAAGCTGAGGGACCCCACCTGTACACAAATTTGTGCATTAGGACATTAGTTTATATATAATAGGGGAAAATTCTCTTAAAATACATAGATAGAATTTTGACTCAAAATCTCAATGATAAAAATACTAGAGGCCTGGTGCACGAAATTCGTGCACTTGGGGGGGGGGCGGTGTCCTTCAGCCCAGCCTGCGCCCTTTCGCAGTCTGGGAGTCCTCAGGGGATGTCTGATTGCCTGCTACCATATCTGTGCTTGCCAGCCATGAGCCCGGCTTCTGGCTGAGCGGTGCTTCCCCTGTGGGAGCGCACTGACCACCATGGGGCAGCTCCTGCATTGAGTGTCTGTCCCCTGGTTTGGTTGATTTGCATATTAATCTTTTATTATATAGGATTTATGATATATTATTTCCTCTCTCTATTCAACAGCATTTACAATGCTCAGTGTTCTCTATTTGTGCAGGTGCACTAGGGCCAGGGCACTCTGTTGTTCTATTCTGTGTTCTCCTTTTATTCATTTGCTTTTTCTTCCTGCAAGGCCATTTGGACTCACACTTTGGCTGGCAATTCACCATTATTCTAGTAACCTTCTTGCATCATGTTAAAGTAGCACAGTGAGAATGCAAATCAGATTTTAAGCTGGGAGACCTGGGTCTAGTGCTGTTCCCAACTGTCTGCCTGCAGCCTGGAAGGGTCAGCCTCTGAGAAGAAATTCATCTTTGCATGAAGGAGATGATAATCATATATATGAGGCACGCTGCTGAAACTGCTCATTTATATCAATAATAGCTTGCTTTTATTATTATTATTTACACTATGCCAGATCCTGTGCTAATCTCTTTACATGGACTATGTCTTTTATGCCTTACACCAGCCCTCTGAAATAACTGCTATCCATTTTACAAATGGAGATACTGAGATTTATAATGGTCACTATGACTTTCTAAGGTCAGACAACTAATAAGCAGTTGAATCAGGATTTGAACTTGAGTACTAAATTCTTGGTCCAGGGCTCTGCTACCAATATCAGCTAACATGATAATGCACCAAGTCTCTATTAATAGTCATATCATTGTGGCATAACAGTCATTACTGCCAATACTTTCATTATTTTATTATATCTGATTACTAAATGGATTTGTCTTACATCCTTTTACTAGATAATTTAATAAAATGAACCTACAATAGATTCACAGTACACTTTAAGCTTTAGTTAGCTTCTTTTTATATTCTCTTGGCCTACTCAGTAATTGTTCACTTCTGCCTAACATCAAACCATTTATAGATAATCATGGGGGAGAATAGTAAATTATAATATATGGAGTAAATATCTGGTAGATAAACTTAGTCAAAATCATCTGAGATCTTATTTCCTTTCACAAACAATTATTAACCAACTTCTATGTTCTAAGAATATGGCAATGAAGACTGACAGGTCCTCAAACTCATGGAGTCTACATTATAGTGGGAAGAAACAGTTCCAGAGGAATAAAGGAGATATATTTTCATTTAATTCACAAATGATCTCTGAAAAGGTATAAGGATCTAACAATTAAAGCTAAGTAACTGTTTAAGTTAAAAAACTTTTTCCAAAAAATTTCCTACAAAAAGATTATGTAAACTCCCTAAGGAGGAAGAATTACTGGGCCAGAGTTAAGCAAAAATATCATAAAACAATCTGTGATGAGTTGTTTAGTTGTATTTCATAATTTGGAACATATGTCTAATATAATTTGATTAAAAGCACCCTGTATAGGTGCAATTTATCCGTGAGGTGTATGACTTTGAATGAGTTTATGTAAATATTCGTAAAAGTTTTAGTATTCCACAAAATTATTGATAAGAAAAAGGGAATCCATTAATTTGTTTTGGATCACACAGCTGTATTTTGTATGTCTAAGGGTCATAATGTCTAATAATAAAATCTAATGACTCTAAACCCTCAAATTGTATGACGCCCAATTTGTAATTGTGTTCTTCAATTTTGAACCTGAGAACAGTCCTCCATAATTCTGCCTACTGAAGCTTAAGGTGATTTTTATATTCTTACTCTGGTTATTGATTAATTAGACATGTATTCTCTCTTCCTTCTATAAAAATTTTAGATAATTAGGGCCTTTATAGAGACATCTGATAAGAATCATTGCAAGGTAGAGGACTGAGCCATTTCAAACATGACCAGAAATATATATTAAACTATGTATCGATCACCTATTAGGTACAGTTGTTCAATTAGTTATTGGTCCAGCCATGTATTCTAGAACTCTATCCTGCTCTACATGTAAGATATCGAAGTAACCTTGCAAAGTGCCACGCTCAATCAAGGTCAGTAGGTTTGTCTTTTGGATTTCATGGATCTAACAGTCTAGTGAGCCTGTGCAAGAAGCAAACTTGGCTGCGAGTGAATCCATGCCCTTCCCAGTGATTGCTCTGTCCTTGTCTTTACAAATCTGGCTCAGGAAGGTCACATCACCATCAGTAGTACTAAACAGTCATCATATCTCTCTCCTTTTGAAAACCAGAATTACATTTGAATTCCCAACATATAATTTTTTCTCCTTTCTTTTTTCTCAAAGTGAAATATAAATTATTTAGAAACCTTCATTTCCACTTTCTGGGCTACACTACATTTTAGGTCAGAAGACTGAAATTTTGACACTCTTTACAGATCTTCAGGCGAAAGAAGATAATGATTCGTCCACTGCAACAAATTGGTTGACCATATTGTTGAGCAGACTATAGAAATGCCTCAGAAAGACCTGGGACTGAAGACTGGCTTGGAAGCTAGCTGAAATGTGAGATCCCAGGCAAGGAACTTATTCTCTCTCAGTCTTGGTTTTCTCATTTGCACAAGGAACAATGCTCTCCTTACAAGGCACTATGAGTCTGTGAGTGTGAGGCGCTGTGCACAATACCTGGCACAGGTCAAGCACTCAACAGTGAGCTGCTGCCATTATGACCGTACAGCAGCTCAGCCTAAATGATCTTCCACAGAGGTTGCTGAAAAATCGGAAACTCCAAAATCATAATATTCGAAATTGTAGAAATGCAAACTGATACATCTCTGACCCTCAGGGGAGTCATATTTCTCAATGGCTAAAAAAAAAAAAAACAAAACACCCCAAAAACCCTCTTTTGAAATATAGAATTCTGGCCAAACTTCCTTTTGAGCTTGATATAATTTCTATGACATCTGATTTCCAAAAGTAAATTTCTACAATCTGAAGGTTTTAGGCCATTTTTATAAGCTTCTAATTTCATTTTCCATTAATATAATCTTATTACATTTAAATAAATATGTACCTCCTGTTAATATTCAGGCAGTGTCTTTTAAGATGTTCTAAAATTTTTCCAGTGACTCGCCCTAATGACAGAAGAGGAACCGGGGCAGAGAGAGGACAGCATGCGAGAGGAGGGCAAACCCTACCAGCCGGTGACACTAAGATCTTGTGTGACTTATCCTAACAAGGAAGGTGAACTTCTCCATCTCCTTCATCCATGTCTGCTTTCCAGGAATCTGCCCTATGTATTCCAGGGCCTTTAGTACACATCATATGTGAGTTTCAGCTTGAGATGCGGATCCTGTCTTCTGTTTAAATTGCACACACCTATTAGTTAATATCACAGCAGATGAGCAAGGGGAAGGCGGACATTTTTTGGCTAAAGGCATCGTCACACACAAAATCGGGCTGGGAGTCACTGATCTTTCATTTTGACTTTCCTCTACCAACAGCCTTTGAACCAAAGAGCACACTTAACCAGATTCATATAGAAATTTAATAAAATAGATGGCATAACTTAAGTTTACACCTAAAAACAAGAGTTGAGTCTTACAAACCACAATAAAATGAGGCCTCAGTACTAATGTCTCCAATTGTCTGGGGTGTCTTAGATTGATCATTTCCACCTTTAGTGTTTATCCCTTTCCCTATTAGTTCTGTCCTTTGATTTACTCTCCATCTATGCAAAACTATTAAACCGAGAAAGCTTTCTAAAATGAAAAACAGAATTTAAGCCAGTAAATCATTTTGTGTACCTCCCTCCCCCAGTCCTTAACATGATGCCGTATTTCTCTACTGGAAAAGGCTTTCTGCAAATCAACTGACCGTGAGCTCATGGGCATGAAGAACCTGGCCTGGGAGAGAGGGGAAGTGACCATTTCAAAACAAGTGCATGAAAGACCAACTTCCTCCCGCTAGACAAGGTAGCTTTTAAAACAACTCAGAAATTCATTAGGTTGTGTTTTTTATAACCAATTTATTCACTAAAATTCTCTATAAAGTGACCTACTTTAATAGATCTCAATAAATGATGTAACTGGTTTGACCATTACACTAACACATTTAACATTTAGGCTTGAGAACAATCCAGCCAGTTTCCTTTTGTTTGAGGAACTATAAAGGCAAAAGTTTCCCTATAGGACAGATATATTGCTGCTTTGCACTTTCAAGCCTTATAATGATCTAGAATCAAACTTGTACCAAAATTCTCCTTAGTTATTATCCTATGACTCCACACAGCTTGACATCCAATTGATTACATAAAATTGAAAAAGAACTTTTATTTTCAAAAATATGTTAATTCTACTTTTAGTGTTCAATACTAATTCTGAGAGACGTTTTTCAAAGGTAATTATCTCTCTCTCTCTCTCTCTCTCTCTTTTTAAAGGGGAATAATTCTCAGAGAGTACTCATTTGCTAGCTCTTCTTCCCAACTCCCTGTCAGCTTTCTACTCAATGAACTATAAGCCTGGGTTTCGCAGCCTGTTCCCATATGTAAGATGCAAGCAGGCTGCCCGACTACAAACCAATGCAATAACTATGTTTAATAACAACTGCTCGACTACCATCCAATATTAACTCTGTGCAATAATAACTGTACCACTACAATCCAATGCAGCAACTGTGTTTAATAATAATTTTCCACTACTAACATGTATTATAACTGTGCTTTACCTTACTGAAAAACATGGTAGAAACAACATGAGACTTTTCAAAGCCACTAATTAAAGACAGGTAACTGCCTATAAGCCTTGCCTATGTTTAGGCTTAGTATTCACCTTTATTTATAAATGGTACTTCAAAGTATATGCTTAGTATACACCTTTATTTATAAATGGTACATCTGAGGATTAAGAATATGTATAAAACTCCTTTAACAGATTAGACTGCAATATTAAACAGTGTAACTTAGTGAAACATATGTCCTAGCGGCTTTTAATTTCATATTTAAGTAACACAATAAACCCTTTAAAATGAACAGAATGTTAAGTTCACAAAGACAGACAAATTACCATCTTTTCGATGTTAATAGGTTGGTTTTACCGGGTAGGTCAAGAAGGGCCTCAAGTAGCAGTCCAATCCATCACTAATAGCGGTCAGAGAACTGCTCAATATCCTCTTAAAGCCAAAACCCAAACCATCCCTCTAGGCAAGCACTGATTAGCATTCAGATGGAAACCACTGAATAACTCCACTCAACAGGACAGTAAACTTAGTTATGTGCCCCCCTCCCCACTGGGATGTAATGCTGCTCTCAGACAGACGATCCATAGAGCAATACTGAGGCAAAACTCGCTTCTTTCAGGCTGTATGGCCTGGAGCTCTGGACCCAAGCCAAGTACTCAAGAGGCATCTGAGAAAATCCCAAATCACTTCTTGAGGTCAACTTACATTCTTTGGATAGCAAACCCTACAGCTTGTTTCCCTGTAAAGTAGGGTGGCATTCAGACTAGATAAGAGAACAGTTTGGAACTTTAAAAAATAAAATCACTTTTGCTACAAGTATCTCTGTTATCTAAAACATATGGTGTTCATTACAATCAAAAGTACAATCCAGGTGTGTGCCGAAGATCACTATCTCAGTGTGTTGCCAGTTAGCGTCTGGAGCAAGCTAATCATCTTTCCGTTGTCATTCTCAACACCTGGCCTCTCACGCAGTGATATTACTTTACCTCAATGCAGAACAAAGCTTCTTACGGATCATTTTAATGTCGCTTTGGCCTTTTCTAAGAGTTGACATAAGACATTGTTATATGGAGAAAATGTCTAAGTAGTCTATAAAATTCATTACTGAAGATGATTTTCAATATTTCTCATGTGAGGATCTACGTAAGCAATACCTCTGGAGAGTGACCATATAGAACAGGAAGCTCAATACTGGATTTAGAAATGCCCCAATACGAAACTCTTGATCACTCAGCCTTATGTTAATGATCTTCCTGTAACAGGAGCCACCACCAATCCATTCTGGAGGTAGGTTAGGTAAAAAAACAAGTAGACCAACTGCACTTGAAGTCCAGATCATTTCAACCATATTAAAAACTACAGCCACCCTTGCACCCTGACAGCTGGTCTTCCAGAGGAGTCTGTCAGGAAGTAGGACAACATAGCTTGGCTTCTCATTCATTTAATTAATATTAATGGAACACCTATGGAACAATGCACGTAATGAGCACTGTGCTACTACGATTGCACGCCTAACCTTGGAGGACTCAAATTCTGTCAGTGTATGTATTTCTCAACACTTGGCATTTCCTCTCCAAGAGAAACAGGCTCACTGAGTTAGGCAGACCTGATTCAAACCACAGCTCTTGCTGCATGATTGGGGCAGATTAAGCAAGCACCTCTTCATCTACAAAAATAGGGAAAACGTCATTTCCCTGTACGGTTCTCACGAAGACTAAATGAGATAGTCAATGAATCACCTGGTATGTCTTCGAACTCTTAAAGAAGTAGTTGCAGCCATAACCGGTTTGGCTCAGTGGATAGAGCGTCGGCCTGCGGACTGAAAAAGGTCCCAGGTTCGATTCCGGTCAAGGGCATGCACCTGGGTTGCGGGCACATACCCAGTAGGGCATGTGCAGGAGGCAGTTGATCGATGTTTCTCTCTCATCGATGTTTCTAACTCTCTATCTCTCTCCTTTCCTCTCTGTAAAAAATTAATAAAATACATTAAAAAAAAAAAAAAGAAGTAGTTGCAGATCTAAGCAGCCCCACAGACACCTGACCTGACTACAAAGCCTACTTGGAAAGCTCTTGCTCCTTCCAAGTCAAAGTCCTCAGGAAGCAGAAGTGTCCCCCATCCTTAATTCCGAACCTTTTCCCTTCGTGTACATGGGTTTTGTTAAGAATAATAGTAAATATACAAATTCTTAAAAAAATATTTAAAATATATATTGACACAATTTTATAGTTGAGGCTATTCAGTCAACACATTTTGAAGCCTGATTTACAAGAAAGTGGGTGCCGCGCTGCTGGATACTGCCGAGAGTTTAGCTAAGCTGCTCCATGGAATGACTGCTCTGCAGCCATTTTGTGCCATCAAGTGACCTGTGGGTGCCTGACACTGAAATCAGCCTCTCTCAGCCCCTCACACAAGTGCATGGCCTAGATAACAGCCGGGGAGTTACAAGCAAATGCAAGTTCCTAATACGACTTCCCAGACAGCCCTTGTGATAAGATTCCCCAGCCTCCCAGGGCCTTCCTCGTGTGTACCCCTTAGAAAAAACACCGGGAGAACTTATCAAAACCCCACTATTTTTGGTTTGAATGGAGCAATCTGGCTTTAGCTTGGGAACTCCTAGCCACTCTACCCAGCCTAATAAAGGCACGGGGTTCCTGTCTTTCAGTCTGTCTGTACTCGGCTTTGACAGTCCTATGTGGCTCCTGGGGGCAAGCCTAGAACATCGTCAGGACGTGTGAGTAATAAACTTCTCTATTTCAGTTTCTCTTGTGGTCTTTTGTTAAACTGCAGTTCCCAATATGGCACCCTATGCTCCCCTTAACAAATGTTAAACATACGAAGTGCGAAAGTATGAGCGTTAGATCACACAGCTGTTGACTCACATCTGTGACGTGGTTAGTTGGCTGTGCGGTCTGGTGTATCCATCTACAAAAATAGGGAAAACGTCATTTCCCTGTACAGTTCTCACGAAGACTAAATGAGATAGCCTAGAATCACCTGGTTCAGATTTCTAATCTGTAAAGGTGTGAAAACAATTCCTAACTCACAGGGTAGATGTGGGACTTGAATACTTGGCACATGTAGGTCTCGATAAATATTAATTTCTATTTTCTTTTAAATTGCCCCCAAAATGAACACAGATACATATTTGTGTAGTAAGGGAAGACAAGAATCCTATCTAATAAAGAGGGAATATGCTAATTGGCCCTCATGCCACCACAAAGATGGCAGTGCCCACAGCCAATAAGGAGGGAATATGCTAATTGACTGCCATGCCCTCAAAGATGGCAGCAGGGGAGGACAGTTAGGGGTGACCAGGCTAGCGGGGGAGGGCAGTTGGGGGTGACCTGGCCGGCAGGGGAGGGCAGTTGGGGGTGATCGGGCCGGCAGGGGAGCAGTTAGGGGGTGATCAGACTGGCAGGCAGAAGCGGTTAGGGGCAATCAGGCAGGCAGGCAGGCAAGCGGTTGGGAGCCAGCAGTCCAGGATTGTGAGAGGGATGTCCGACTGTCCGACTGCAGTCAGACATCCCCTGTGGCTTCCCAGATTGGAGAGGATGCAGGCTGAGCTGAGGGACACCGCCCCCCCTCCCCCCAATGCACAAATTTTGTTCACTAGGCCTCTAGTATAGTATGATACTACTTAGAAGTTGCATTATTTGTTTCTGCTAGGGTACAACACAAAACCTTCCCAATGCCATAATTTATTCCTATTAACTGAGATTTAAGAACTGAATTGGCAACTTCTGTTTAACTTACCACATTAAAATCTAGATTTTCTTCAACCCATGATTTTGCCTCTTCAAATTCATCTTTCATTCCCATAATAAAAAGTGTGTCCAGGGCATCTACTATTGTTGCTCCTTTGATACTTCCTGAAAATATCAGAAAAATTTTTATTCAATCAATTAATTTTGACAGATACTTAAATGAAAATTGGCCAACCTTGGGAAGGGAGAGGGTAATACTGAATTTATTAATAAACAGTAATAATGAACACAGTCTAAAATTCTTTCAGTGAAGGAAAATTAAAAAAAAACTGCACAGAAGTCAAACAATTATCACAGGCTATAGATGGATACACTAATCTTTAGTTTCTTCTGAGTTGTAGAAAATGAATCTCTTAGAAATTTCATTTGTGACTGCATTCTCTAGCGAGAAAAGAGTAGGCCTAAAAAACAGGGGCAATGCGTTCCTTTTAATGTGATTATATCAAAGCATACCTGTGTAAAACTGTTTAAATAGAATTAGCTCTAAAATTGTTTAGTGAGAGCTCTAAGAAACCAGTACTCTAAAATGGAATTTGACTCCCTCTGAAGCCCTGATTCTCCCCTTCCTCCCACCCGCCTACCTAGTAGGTAACGAAGCAGACCAAATGCTCCTTTGCTGGGTGATACCTCGGGATCTAGAAATCATGATGCTGCGCCCATACCCATTAGATGAGAATCTCGGGAAGGTATTTTTTAAGGTATGCAGGTGGTTCTACTCTGCACGGGTGCTCTGTCTGAAGGATGGTCTTTGCAGATAACTCCATCAGGTGTGCAAGTTTCCTAGCAACGTGGTCAGAAGGATCACACAAACATCTCCACCACCCACAAGTTCAGCCAATTAGGAGAAGTTACTGTCACTGAATTGTGACAAGTGACACAAAGTATATTCTACTCACCAAACAAACTGCTGGAATGGCCTTCTTTTGATACAGGTTTCAGCTCATTTAATCCCCAGGCATATTGTTTATAGTTATACCAAGCATGTTTCATCATCTGAGAAAAGAAATGAAAATGGGATTATAATTTGAGATGTTTTTGCTACAGAATAGATCATATGTTAAAGACCTAAAGGTTAAAATATTAAAACTCACTGCTTAGTTTAAAAGACGATTAATTAAAATTGTGACAATGATATGAATAAGCTAGAACACGTACATACATATATATACATCACCCCTTTATGTTTACAAATGGAGATTTTTTTTGAATCCATTTTATCCTACTTAAGATATACATCATTTTCAAAAGACCATTTCCAGAAAGAGAAATTTAGTTTATCCTTAAAAGGATAAACCATTCTTACATTTATCTATTTCATTCTCATGACAGATTAAATCTGAAAAGACTCTATATTTAAAATTCATACTTTTGTATAAGATTCTCTGTACTTTTAATCTCAAGGTATAGTACAAACATCCAAGACAAATATCCAAGGTTATCATTTGAACACTTTGATTTATCTTGACCAAATCTATACAGAAGTATTTTTAAATATCTGCAAGAAAGGAAAAAATATAAAACTCGATGGTTATATCTTGATTTTGGAAAACTTGCTTATTTTAATATAACCAATCTTTAATAGTATACATATGTGTGTATACCTATGTAACAGAAGACTGACCCTGTGTATTCCCAATATAGACTCCTTGTACCAGGAATGTTTTCAGGTCCAAACCTCTCTGTCACCATTAGTTGCATAAGTCTTTTCTTTTATTATTTTTAACAAAATTAACTTATCTATATATAATGAAAACCAAATTAACTTCTCCTGGCTGATAGACAAAGTTTTGATGTACTCTGCGAGACATTAACTCTAATAGAAAGTGAATAATTTTCAAGAGGAGGAATTGTTCTAAAAGCTTGTCAAAATGGCTGTATAACTATTGTATAATAGTTTGATAAATTTTTTTAATGACTCAACGAATTTATATGTAATTATGTTTACATACATTTTTTAAAAAGAGGGACTCCCCCCACCCCCATATAGAACTTATTCATGTCACTATTCCCAATCTGTTAGCAACAATAATTACAATATGGACATACTCTGAAAATATTATAATATGGCTCCATATTTAAAATTTCTTTAAAAAGCATCACAAAGTTATAAATACTATATAAGGGCTATTTATCACTAAATATCTTCAGTGAGATCAACTCAATTTTATGAATAAGAAAGTCTTCAGATGTCCCTGAAAATGATAATTAACATCTTTCTTTAACCAATATGTACATTATCTCCCTATCTCAGGATAATTGCTACTAATAATGGCTACCAGGATTTGTGATTCCTTTGTTCATTGCAGCATTATTTACAATAGCCAAGATATGAAAACAACCCAAGTGTCCATTGACAAATGATTGTATAAAGAAGGTGTGGTGAATATATACAATGGAATAACATCCAGCCATAAAAGATTAAATACTGTCATTTGCAACAACATGGATGGAACTCTTGAGGGTATTAGGCCAACTGAAATAAGTACGACAGAAAAGGACAAAACCATGCGATTTCGCCTGGATGGTGTGGCCCAGTGGTTGACCCATGCACCCAAGAGGTCGCTGATTTGATTTCCCAGTCAGGGCACATGCCCAGGTTGTGGGCTTGATCCCCAGTGTGTGCCATGAAGGAGCCAGCTAATTGATGTTTCTCTCTCATCGATGTTTCTATCTCTCTCTCCTTCTTCCTTCCTTCCTCTCTAATAAACAAAAATAAGCAAACAAAAAACATATGATTTCATTCATATGTGGGATATAAAACTAAAAGTACCAAATGAACAAACAAATCAAACAAACCCAAACACATACTAGTATACACAGACAACTGAATGGTGGTTAGCAGAGGGAATGGAGGTGGGGGAGTACATAGTGGGTAAAAGGGGCCTAGTGTACGGTGATGGAAGGAAACTAGACTTTGGGTGGTGAGCATGCAGGCATTGAATTGTAATGTTGTACATCTAAAATTTATATAATGTTATTAACCGATGTTGCCCCAATAAATTTAATTTAAAAAATCTGTACTATCTGCTGGGAACTCTGCTAAATGCTCTACGTTCAATATTGTATTCAATTCTCATCATAACCCTGTGAAATGTGTTGTATTATGTTATTTGGTAGATGAAGAGACTGAGGCTTGGAAGTTAAATGTAAACAACTTTACTCGAAGTCATGGCATTTTTTCACAGCTACGGAGCCAGGGCCATGCAGTTCGCCTGGCTCCAAAGACCAGGCTGTTACCCAACACAATGCATCACTTTCCTTGAATGAGTCAGCACCAGGCTCTTCCTTTTATTATCAGACTTATCTTCCAGCAACCAATAAAATGCATATAAAGCAGTGTTTTTAAGATTTTCTCCTTATAAATTCATTTTATTGGGAAGTATAATAGATTTAAGGGTAAAATGACCTGACTTATAATCCCAATAACATCACTGCTTAGTCACATAATCAGGGATGAGTCACAGTTTTTGGGAGACTCTTTTTACTAGGAAAACTGGGATCACAAACTCTCACAGGGTGTGTATGTAAGGATTATGTGAACATGGTCTGTGTGATTGCACCTAGCACACTGCTTGGCATATGGTGGGTAATCACGTTTACTGAATTTTAAACCTATGCTGAAATCAGTTAAACCACATCACAGAAATAGAAATCAATGAGCCTCTGGAAAGGCTAGGTATATGAAATCCACAAAAACACCTTAAGAATACATCTGAGTTTGATTTGGTTCTCCTATTAAACGTGCAACACTTGGCAAACTATCCATTCCTGAAAATTTCCAAAAATACTTTATAAATTCGAAAGTTTTTGGAATACATGTGACCCAAGAACAGAAAAACCCATCATGATGATTTGTTTCAGCTCCAGGACTGAATGGAAGCTAGTGCCATATACTATTAATGACTCCAAGGGAGCATAAAGCTCTCCCATAGAAGGCTGCTTCTTTGTCAAAAATGATCATTTATACAATGTGCTACTTGAGTTTCCTCTGTAGTATATATTAGCTTTTCTTAGCTTTTCCCCCAAGGGAAAATTTGACACTAATTGCTTAGTTTCCTACAGTTCTAAAGCTCCTGTCACATGTTTCTCAAACTGGGTTCCTCATCCCATGGGATTCTATGAGTTAAAGTTAGAAACAAAAATGAAAACAAGGTGGTCAAATGCCCTGAATGGAGCATCAAGATCGGTTTCTTCAGGAATCTAATTCCAGTGATTGGTGACCTGTGCAGATGGTTTGCCGTGTTAAAGCCTGAGACAGAGAGAGAGAGAGAGAGAGAGATTGAATTTACAAGTCATATATATGTAAAAACAACTTTGTAACTCAGGTTTATGACTTGTACAAATATCTGAAAACGTCAAACTGCTACTAGCTTTTATTGTACAGATTTAAGCTGCTAACCAGCTAGGGATTATGGGGATGCAGGCATTTAATCTCCCCAAACTCAGTGTGCTTGTGAGCTGACAGGACAAGAAGGTCACTTCTAAAATTTAACTACCAACTGAGGATAGGATGAATCCCCTCTCTTCACAGGCTCCTTCATTTTGTTTTATAGTCTTTCATCAATTTAATTAGGGTTATACAACTTGACACCCCAAGTAGGATTCAAATAGGCCTACACTAGATGCTGATTGGGACTTCAAATGCAATACTGAAACCCTCATGAAAAAAGATAAATTGAAAAGAAGCCAATTTTTCCCCCTGAGTATTTATATTTGCATTGGTGGAAGTAATGGTATGAATGGAAACAAATAAAAGAAAATGATAAAATATTTCATAATAGCAACCCATTATTTTTACCGAGAGGAGCTGGATATAAGACATAAAATATTTTTTAAAAACAGCATTACTTCCCTTTGACTCTGTACTTATATAAGATTTCTTTGATTAGCACTTTCTTCTCATTTGGCATCAGGGCTGAGTAATTAGGCAATGTCATTTATTGAGGGTCAGCTATACTATAAATATTAAGATGCTAAAAGACTAGAAGGGAAGTGTACATTATTCTATCATGCTTATAATCTAATAGACAATGTATGGAAGCTTAACCTCTTTTTCCTACATACTCATAAATGTTTATATATATATGAAAACAAGAAGAAAACTAATTAAATGTCGTGCACAGCTCTACTGTTGTACCTAACAGTTTGTTTTTAATTTTATGACCTGACCTAATCAAGGACATGCAAAGCCAGGAATAAATAAAAATATGCTTAAATTTCTCTAGGTGTGTGTTGATTTCTGAAGTTACATTTTTGTTGCTAGAAACTGAACTTAGCAAATACTTTACCTACTGATGCTTTACTCATACGATCTTAAGTTATTCATAAAAGACACATTAAAAATCTTTTTAAAAATCTCACCATTTTTGCCAGGCAGGTCACCATATGACTCATCAATTCCACTCCTGAGTATTTGTCCAAAGAAAATGAAAACACTAGTTTGAAGAGATTTGTGTACCCTCATGTTCATTGCAGCACGATTTACAATAGCCAAGATACAACCTAAGTGTCCACTGATGGACAATGGATAAAGATTATGTGATTCCATATATATATGGAATATTACACAGCAATAAAAAATAAAATCTTGCCATTTATTACAACATGAATGGACTTAAAGGGTACTATGTTAAGTGGAATAAGTCAACCAGAGAAAGACAAATATGGTATAGTTTCATTTACATGTGGAATCTAAAAACACACACAAATGAACAAATAAACAAAAACAGAACAGAGACCAAAGAGATGGTTGCCAGAGAGATGAGGGATGGATGAAAAAGTTGAAGGGGAATATAGTCAATAATATTGTGATAAGTTTGCATGGTGACAGATGATCACAACTAGACAGTGGGATGATTACATTATAAGGTATAAAAATGTCGAATCACTTTTACACCTGAAACTAATATTAAGTAATATAATACTGTATACCAACTATACTTAAATTTTTAAAACGAAAGTTAAAAAAAAGAAATTTCAACTTAAAAAAACTC